AGGTTCATGTGCAGATATTGACCTATCTGTATTTGGGTTTATCTATACATGCACATTGGCCAGTTGGACCTTCTAGAGCTGTGCTATTCAATATAATAACCGCTAGCCACATGTGGCTATTTAAATTTAAATGAATGAAAATTAAATAGAATTAAAGTCCATTCCTCCATCACATTAGGCATATTTCAAGGGCTCAGTAGCCACATTTTCTAGTCGCTACAGTATTAGAAAACTCTGAATTATAGAACATTTCCACTATCTCAGGAAGATCCATTAAACAGCTCTGTTCCAGAGGGAATTTCAACAGTAATTAAAGTAGTAGTTCTTGTATGCATGCCTCAGGGAACAGATCACCTTGTCCTTACTGGGTTGGCTGAATGCCTATGGTTATGGCTAGTATGATTAAAAATAGTTTGTTCTTTTAAAAAGCAGGTTAAACAAATGTTTTAGAATGTTATTTATCTCAGGCTTTAGCATAGAGATTCCAAAACTCAAGAATTCTGAATTAGCGAAACCCAAATTAATGTGATTTACTGTATTCCCTAGGTCAGTCTTGAAGGCTAAGCTTTCTTTCACATTATTCCTGGCCAGAAGTCAGCCCCCAGCCCTCCCCCTCCTGCTATTTATATACTTGTTGATGGAAATGATCACCCCTTTCCTGGGCACTATCAGCCCTAAAACACTTGTCAACTTTGGCCACTTTCCTAGAATAAATCATTAGGCATTTTCATTGCTTTTGCACTGTGAGTGACATCTTTAGCAAAAGCACTCTCCTTCCCAACAGTATTTGCCAGTTTGGCCTGGTAAAAATAGATAACTTATCATGATGTTTCCTGTTGTGTATGATTCAAGTTATCAGATCTATATATGCTGAATGTGTCACAGATGAAAGAACATTCTTTTGATGTACTCACAGCAATTCACGTGATATGGTAAAATATACATGAATCAGAACGAGAGCTAGGAGACCATTGGGCCAGGGTTTCTTCCTGTGTTGGGTGTGTTTGGATTTACAAAGGGATGACAGGCCAGCAAGAAGAGGGTGAGCCCCTTACATGTGTGCCGCACCTCCTGCTGGCCTGAGAATGGTGGGCAGACTCCTTCAAGGAGTCAACCACAGTAAGAAAAAGGGTCTTGTGTTTTTGATCAAAAATTTTTTTTTTCTTAGAGTTGTGGTGACATGTTTGCTAGCGGCTTACTCTCTCCTGTCTATTCAAAGTCTATCCTGACCAGATGGTGTGGGTTGTAAACCAAAATATTCATTAAAATCTGTCCATTTCCTCCACCCCAATCTCTGGGACCCATTAAGAAGTGAGCACACAGGGTGCTAGTTCATTCATGCCTTATTTCAACCACCTGAGGGGAGCCTGGAGGAACAGGATTAAGGGGACGAAAGATCAGAAATCTTTGGCCATCACACTGAGGACAGAATACGCTATTTTCCTTGCTTTTCAGTTCTTCCTTAATAGCCACCTGTTGTCTCATTTAATCCATCACCAAGTCTGTTCATCCTTCCAAGTACCTCTGATATGTGTCCACTCTCTTATTCCATCACCCCAATTGAAATGACCACTATCTTAGTGTTAGATTACTCTCCATCTGCCTTCACACATCAACCAGAGAGCAACACTTAAAAAGACAAATTCAAACATGTCACCTTCCTGCTTAAACCTCTTCTTGCTTAATGATGATAAAGACTAAAATGCTCAATCTTGTCTCTTGGGACATACCTGACTGGTCCCTGCTATACTCTTTAACCTCCCCATAACATCATTTCCTGAACCTTGTAATTATACTTCCGTAACACAGGCTTTTTCTTCAATTCCTATAAACTACAGTTGTTTCTGCCTAGGGCCTTTGCACGTGTGGTACCCTGTGCTTGGATTATTTTTCTCCTAATTCTTCCTCACCTGGTCAACTCATACTCATCTTTCATGTATCAATTTAGTCACCACTTCCTCTTCATGTATCACTTTAGTCATTACAATCCTTTCCCCCAGAACCAGGTGAGGTTGAGGTTTGTATTTATAAAGGTGACTGATGAAGCTGTAAGATTTATGAGCTCCAGAGATAATATGTATTCTTTAATCACCATTGTATTCCCAGCTACTGACACTCTGCATGGCAGTTGAGGCATGAATAAACCTTTGTTGACTAAACAAATAAATAAAACTTTTGTTATCTGCCAGGAGAGGAGTGGAGGATATAAAGGAAATCATAGACTTAAGAGCCCTGGGTTCAAATCCTGACTCTGCCAACTTATTAGTCAGGTGATCTTGGGCAAGTTAATTTACCTCTCTAAGGTTCAGTTTTCTTTTCAGTAAAATGGGCATAATCATCTTTACATGGAGTTGTGAAGATTAAGATGCTGTATGCATCAGTAGGTTCTCAACAAACTGCAGACCTCCTCCTCCTCATCATCATAATTGCTATTATCCAATTTGGAGACAATAGGGTGGAAAGTACTCTGGTGAGGCCACAGAGCTCCTCAGGAAGAAGTGACAGATTACTCACACCCAAAAGGAAACAGTAACGTTTTTTATTAAATATTACAGTGGATCAAAAAGTACAAAATATCTCTTGCCTGCTATGTGATTGGGAAACTATTGGCACGTAATACAGTATCAAAAGCAGTAATAAGTACAATTTGGAAAACATACAAAATTGAGTGTTTATAGTTGGCTCAGCATTCTTCTGGTAGTGTTTAAACTAATGCAAAGGTTACTCAATAACCTCTCCATTGGGAAACTATATAATATCACTGGGCCACGTTGCTATATACAAATAATCACCTTACAGAGCAGAGGTTACATAGCTGGAATCACCAAAAGTATACAATATTTACAACACAGGAAAGTTTAAAAAAGTATAAACAGCCAAGAGATTATGCTGCTATTCTTCAGACATATTTCAACCATGGGGAGACAAGCAGAATATCAAATACATCAACAGCCAACACTGGAATTTAAGTGCTCAAGATAATCATTGCAATGGTGTAGGTCTCACCAGGGCAAACTTGTTCCCAATTTTCTTTAAAATTGGGACAAGAGTAAAACTGGACCAGATGGGACTTGGCTGACCACCACCAAATGTGACTTTGTGGGACACAAGTGAAGAGAAATAAATGGTTCTCTTTGAAGGCACACTACATAAAATATTTTTGTAGGATCACCTCGAAATTTCCATCAGACACACCAACACAGTGAAATACAGTACTTGAGAATTCATGCACCAGGTCAGAAAGTTGTAAAGTCAACATTGAGTTTTAACAAACCCTTCTGTATATGCCCTGATAAACAAGTGAACTTAAGAGCTTCTAGCTAGTAAATAAATAAGTCAGTCCTGTGGCAAATATTACAAGTTCCAATCACTTACTAGGAGAATACTTAATTCTGAAACGTGGTTGGGCTGGTTTTTTTTTTTTTTTTTTTCCTTTTTTATGTTGAGTTGCCAAAAGTTAAACCAGAAGTTCCATGGAAAGGCTTTTAAAAAATATTATTTAGACTCTCCAAATCTCCAGTAAATCACGGACTTAGTGCATTTTGAATTGCAACATTTCTTGGAAGCCACACTCAGTAAATAGATTTATGACTCTATTGCCAATTAGATTCCACAGTTTCCTTTACAGAACTACCAATAACAATGGTTGATTGCACAAAGATAGGCTTGTGCAATTCCATTCAATAATAAGGCCCCTTGAACTCAAACAATGCAAACAAAGCCCTATTTAAGACTTTTTAAACTGTAGTTCTCAGCCAATGAAGAATTCAATGGTCATTTTTGAAAGATTTCCAAGATCTCTGTTCGGAGTTTTAAAACAAATAATACACTGCTTCTGTTGGGAATGTATGCCCCCATTTCTCTTTATTTGTCCTGATGTTTTGCTGAGGGTATGAGCTTCCTCAGACAGAAACAGTTAGTCTCTTCTAGGAAGAGATGAGAAAAACAAAAGCTGGACTATGTTAACATTGTTTGAAAATGGTGTGATCGAATTCCAACATGATGAAACCAGACTGAAATCATTGCGGCGGGGAAAACAAATGCCCCATATTCCAAATGGATAGGTGAGCTCCACCAGGGACAGACTGCCCCCGACCCCGCCCATCACCATTTTCCTTGAGAAACCGACTCATAGAAACCACATACGGTCTAGCCCATGTCTGCTGCAGAAACACTGGAGTTTTCTTTTCTTCCATGTCCTCTGATTCTGTGACCATTCAATCTAGTGCAACTTTCTTATATCTGTCCTGGCTAGCATTTTGCCAGCTGGAATTGAGATGACAGACTGCCCCCGACCCCGCCCATCACCATTTTCCTTGAGAAACCGACTCATAGAAACCACATACGGTCTAGCCCATGTCTGCTGCAGAAACACTGGAGTTTTCTTTTCTTCCATGTCCTCTGATTCTGTGACCATTCAATCTAGTGCAACTTTCTTATATCTGTCCTGGCTAGCATTTTGCCAGCTGGAATTGAGATCTTCCCGCCCCCCCCACCTCCCCCGCCCCCCATCTTGTGCAATAGCAGGATAATCTGCACTCACACATTTATAATCTAAATTCTACTAGTCTATCTATGGTTCTATTAAATATATATATATTATTCCACAGGAAGGTAAATAATTAATTGAAGCAAATGGAACTCTTAACACTAGATCTCTACATTCTTTTGTTTCCACCTTTGGATATTAAGTATGTTACATTGAATATTTGGCTTCGTATCATGGAAACATTTCAGTACAAATGCACGGCATGCATGGCTTCGTTTAAGAGCCGCAGTTTCATTGTTTACCAGTTTTGATTATTTTGCAGTCGAGTTACCTATTTAGAAGTTGAAAATTGTCATCAATCTCCATAGAATTGAATTAAATATCTCAGAGGTAAAAGACTTGATTAACTATGGTTCTAATGTCTACTGGTAGTGTTGGGGGAGGGGAGGTTTGGCTGGGGAGTTCATCAAAGCAGTCTTATCAGCAGGGATGGGACTTCGAAAGAGAATCATTCTCTGTATTAATGGACTTTTAATACACTTAGAAAATGCATCCACCTTGATGTTACATCTCGGCAGCAAATGGAATAAAGTGGCAAGAATGACAATATACATTCTCCACATCTTTTGACTGCTTGAACAGCTTGACCGTTTCTTTCCAACAATAAATCAGAAAGCGGACTGTATTGCCAGGTGGTTACAAACATGATACCAACCACCGTATGTGCATGCGTACACATAAAACACAGCCCCATAAACCGAAAGAGGATGACTTTCTTTAGAAATGAGTAATCCAGTATGCCAATTATCCCCAAGGATGTGGCCTGGGAGGTTCTTCTTGAGAACAATAAGAAACCAACTTGATGAAGGCAACATGACTACCTATTACACGAAAGACCATGGCCCAGGGAAGGTATTTGGTTCACGGGCCTCCAGCTGCTCATTTTCTTCTGGATAGTCGAGCTCCATCCTCTTCCCAACCCCCTTTTCCCGGACTTTTTAAAGGGATCAGGGCCAACACCAATGTAAATCATTTTGGCTCCTGTTCTAATTTCTGAAATTCCTAAAATATCTGTGCAGCCCACAAGTATGTCCTCTAGACTCTGTTGTTATTCAGCAGCTTGCTGCCAGTGAGGTTTTTGTTTTTATGATTCCTCTGGTATGTAGGACAGTTTCACAGCCTAGATAAGGTAAGTACAATGCTTGATATTTTCACATAACCCAATACTTCAAAGCAAAGCATTTGGTCGGGTAAGCAGTGTATAAGCTCTTTCAACTATGCCATTTGTGAGGAACAAAGTCCATAAGTTGCGGATCTGCAAAGGAACGTTCTTTGCACTACTGTGTGCTCAACTGTTTCTTTTTCATTTGTTCCACTAGAATCAGTTGCTTCAATTTGTAAACAATAACTTTACCACCCAAAGCTGCTCAAAATGATAAGATGTGGAAAAAATTACAAACACACATCAACAACTAGGACAGTCAGTCAGCCTTTAAAACAAAACAAAACAAAATCAAACAAAACGGAACAAAAAAGACCTACAAACAAAAGCGATACTGTTTAATTAAAAAAAAAAAAAAAAGACGAGAGGAACTGGGAGAGAATGGAACTACCTGTATATAAATTAGGTGAGCAAACAGTGATACGAGTAGTTTTAAGAAGCAAATATATACAGTCAATTTAACAGTGTTTACTTCTCTGGATTGTTTAATAGTGTCAAACGAAAGATCTATTGAAGTTTCACTATACATTGCATTGATTGAACCTTGGAGAGTTTTATGAAAACAGGGGCATCCCTTGGCATATGCTTGCCAGTCTTCCTTGCCCCTTCCTTTGAAATGCCTGCCCCTTTTTTGCCCAGATTGTTTCCTGACCATCGGAACTCAGACGGGGTCCTCCAAGTTCTTCCTAGAGACACATAAATCCCTTCACAAGACTCCCGTGCAAAGTGAACGATCTGGGGTACAAGGGCATCCGTGTTGGAAGGGGCTCAAGACTGACCAGCCAAGGCTGGTGTCGTCCCAGAAAAATCAGGTGTGTTCACCTCCTCTCTTGGCCCCTTTGGCTGGAACTGATCTTACCCCCAGACTAGAAGAAATGCTGACTTGTAATTCTTCTACAAGCCATCTCTCCCAGGGTAAGGACTGAAGCTCTGTTAGCCACGCCGCATGGATGCTGGGCAGAGCTGGGCTTACAGTTTTGTGCTGGGGTGTACGGATGACAGCTGAGAAGATGGAAAGGCAGCTTGAGGATTTATAGCAGCTAAAGGGTAAATGCTGTTGTGCAAAAGGTCCCCATATGAACTTCCTACAGGTGTGGCTGCAGCCAAGTGTCTGTACAGCTGCTGAGAATTTGTCGGTGATGTAAAAATTCCTCTCTGCATCACAAGCGAGTGGAAAGCCAGGGGCTGCATGAGTGGAGAAAGCACGGTCTGGTTTTTCAAGTACTGTAGAGAATGAGAATATCCCGCTGGGAGCCTGGAGTTGAGGCCCGAGTTACACAGGCTCCCAGAATACAAACCTGGGAAGATAGGGGAGGAGAGGGGGTGCTTGTGGCCTTCCACCGTGCCCCCAGAATGCCCACCGTGCGCTGCCTTGCTGCCTTCGCTCTCCTGCTCACAGGCCTTCTCCTTCCCAGAGATCTCCTTGGAGGAGTCCAGGGGAGACACTGCCCGGGCCTTTTTCCCAGCAATCACGAGGTCCAAATCCTCCAGGCTGCGCTTTATCGGCCGCGCCGCACCAATGTTTTGAGGACTCATTTTCCGGTGCAGGATAGGGTGGACCATGCCTTCCATCTTCCTGAAATTCTCCAGTCTCACATGGTGAGGTTTTCCTGATCTTGAGAGCGCTTCAGGGTATTTTTTAGGAGCCGACATGGTCATGGGCGATACGCGACAGGCTTTGGGGTGACAGTCTCGACTCTGGTTGTTTATGACCTGGAACTGGGAGACGCCTTTGCTCTCCTGGGGCGCAGCGGTCGCGTGGGCGAGGCCGAGGACCTTGCCGGTGGGTTTGTGCGGATTCTTGGGAAGGCTCAGATCCGTTGGCTGGTCATCCGTGGTGGCTTCTGCTGCAGTTGATTTTTTGTCTTGCAGATGTAGAGAGGTGAGATAATTTACGTGAAGCTTCTCTTGGTGTTTGTGGGAAGAAAAAGAACTGTTTTCCGACTCCCGGTACACGTCCCTGCAAGGGTACTTGGACGTCTGCTCATTATGAAGATGATGTTCAGTGTGTCTGTAGAGGCTGTGGAGATGCGGAGACGAGTAGAAATCAGCCAGGAAGCTGGGCATGTGGGAGTGGGGGAGGGCTCTTTTCTCTAAGAGTTTTTCCTTGCCCTCCTGAATTTCTTGCTTCAGGACATAGGAATCAGCAAGGGGGCTGAGGTGATGCTTGGAGAAGCTGCAGCGGTGGGGATCCGATCGATTCAGTTTGTCATGCTTAAAAATGTCATTGATGCTCTTTCTGTCTTCCGAGGGCTTGCTTCTGAAACTCTGCACGTGCTGGATCACCGATGGCCGGCTGACCGCCATGTGGTCGGCGCTTTGGCCGTGGTGGGCCTGGGAGAAACCCGAGCACAGGTCATCCCTCGCAATCAGTTTCTTTTTGCTGATCAAAGGTGGTGGGGAGCCGTAGGGGTAGCTGCTGGAGAGGCTGGCCCCACTCACTTGTGACAAAAGTTTTTTCTTGGCCAGTGGGGACATGATGCCTGGGTTGCCCCTTGAGTAGAGCAGAGGGGTGTAATTGAGTCCATGGTTCTCATTCATGGGCCCGGTCAGGTCTTTGTCTTTGAACATGTCAAATGACTGGACCACAAGGACCTTTGGGGTCTGCTTTAGTGCATTGTGGATGTCATCGCTGCCGAGCTGATCCACCTTCACGGTGCAGTTGGCGATGTAATCTGCCATCGCGGGCACTTTGTCATCCTCCATCTCGCTCTGGTTTGACAGTGGCGGCTGCGTGTTGGGGAAGCCGGGGAAGGATGTGTCTTGGAGTTCATTTTCAGGGCTCTCTGTAAAACAGCAGGGCTTGGGGTCTTGTTTCGCGTCCACCAGAACACTGGGAGAGGTGAGAGACTGTTTGCCAGCCCCTGGATCCCTTTCAGGGGCCAGAGGAGCACTAGGGAGTGGAGGAGCAGGGCCCTTCTCTCCTGCCTCCTCTGCCACCTTCTCACTGTTGGTACCTTGATCTGTTTTGTTGTCTCTTTCTGGGTCTGCTGTGGACACTAGGGGCCTCGCTGCAAAATCCTGGTACCCTTCCATTTTTTTCTTCATGTCTGCTGCTGGGAGAGGCTCAGTGATGCTTTTCTGGTTTAAAATCTCTTGTTCCTTCTCTTGCTCTGGTGAAACCTGATAAAATATTGCAAAAGACATTAAGGAGGAAGCCAAATGCATTGACACATTTTTCTATGAAATAAAATATCACATACAGCAGTTTTTCTTGAAAATAGGTTTGTCAATTAGCTCATGGAGGTTCTGTAAAGCTTTATCACTCCCCAATCATGGTTCTAAACAAAGAAATCTAAATTACAGAAACATTAGGGGAAATATGCATATTCACTTAGTCCCTTATGAGACACCTATCAAAATATCAAAGTGTTATATACTGACAGTATACAATCATATCACTCCTTGATTCTAATATATAGTTTAATTCTGAGGTTGTCTTCTTGTCAAATCAGTCAATTATCCAAATGGGTTTTAAATTACATGTTGTGCTTTATGGCACTTTGGAGAAAGATTTTTTTTAAAGTATCTCTTTCAAAAATCCAACCAATCCAATGTCAACAACAAACAACGATTTCAATATAACTTCTTGCCTTCCTTTGAGAGAGCAAATCCTGTCCTAAGGTGTCTAATATGATGCATAAAATTAGCGATGCTTAAGTGTTAGTAATTTCTACTTAGTGTCATATGACATGCAGATAAAGCTAAAAACATTGAAAATTTATGCAGCTGCAACATCAGCCTGTCTACCTGAGAAACCAAAGGACTCTTAAGTCCTTCTAGGCTGCAACAAACTACATTTCTATTAAAGCTAAAAATGAAGTTGTCAAAATCCAGGCAGTGAGTGCCACCACAAATACAGCTTTTCTGTTCATTGAAATAAATTGTAGTCAATGAGATGGATGCTCTTTATGCGTCCCTATTGACAGAAGTTGTGGGCACAATTCGACCTATTCATTGCATTATGTAGCTGTGCAAACTTTGACCTCAGAAGGCCATTTTAACTTTCCATCTGTGCCCCAGCTGACAGACAAGCTCTTTCAAAACTTCTGTCATTCTGCCCCGACATATCTTAGTGGAGAACAGTTCCAAAACAGTTGTATTGAATCGATCCTTTTCCCCCTCATCCCTTGAATGTTATTCTTCTTTGTTAAGAAGTGTCGACTACATTAGCATCTTTGGGTAAGACTGAGGATGCTGGTGTAAGGATACATAAGAAAAAAATTTTTAAGGAATCATACCCATTTCATAGATATTTCTCCTTAAATCCAATTAAATATATATATATATTCCTGTTTTTTAGGGATGTGTTATTATACCTAAGAGCTTTGGCTTATTATCTTTCTTTTTTTTTTTTGCACTAATAGCTGCCTTTTCCAGTAAAAAGATCATTGCTTGTTCTACATTAACAATCATCATTGGTCTCCTGAGCTTATACATTACATGAAAGTATAGAAAAATAAGTACAGCAAGGGAAAAAGGCAAACTGCATTTAAATGTTAGTTTCTGATGGGGCTGTAGTTTGTAGTGGGGCCATAAGGGACACTCGGTTTCTATGACTTAGGCCTTCAGTTACATGGAGATCTATGCGTTTAGTTGTAAAAAAGGTTTTAGGAGGTCTTTGAAAGCTAGGCACAAACAGGTGAAAGATCCCTTTTCTAGGATGGCATTTTATGATCTGCCTTAGTATGTCACGTGGTATCTTCCCACTATGCAACTTTCAATCCAATTACCTGAAGATAGTGGGTTTGACTAGGCAGGCTTTTTATAAGCCCTCCTATCTCCACTGAGTTCACGGCTTCATATCGAAAGCATCAAAAATTATAAACAACAAAAACAACGACAACAATAAAACCCAAGCCCAAAACTCCAAACATATAATCAATGAGAAGAAATATACCTGGTCAATTACATGGGTCTATGTTGGAGATTGGAGAAAATTCTTACAATAAGGTCAACCTCAGAGAGGGTCTGAGACTCCAGGTCATTTAGATAATCCCATCAGGATAACCTTTGTCACTCAAGACACTGCAGAGAACTTTTGGCACCTATAGGAAACAGGGAGCCTCTATAGGAAACAGGGAGCCTTAAGGCTTTACGGGTTTCTATGGACTGCAGGAGGTCAGGCTCTACTCCTGACCACGGTCATTTTCCTAAGCCCATGGGCTCAGTGCGCGGGCTAAGGATTCCTTCCACAACTAACAAACCAACCGTTTCAAACTTCATCCCCGAAGTGGAGCCATTCAAAGGTCAGCTGGCCTCTTGGTCCTCAGTTTATCCCCTGGTGCTTTGGCAATGCTGTACATATGGTATCTAATAGAACTCACTGATCCAAAACCCTATAATAAATCACCAGGCCAACAGGATAAAGGAAGAATGGAATGTAAGCTTTAACTTGGAATTTCCTTGCTTTTGGCCATTTATGTAGCAAGCTTGCAGATGTTTAGAAATCTCTGCACCACCCCACCCCCTTTTTAATTACTAGAGCTTAAAATAATTGTAAAAACTAAATAAAAACAAAAATAAATTTCTTCTTAGTATTAATACTATCTTCTTACATGGGATTCAGTTGGGTAAGTTGAATCTTAGTTAGGAGGCTGTTGTGTGTTGTGTGTGTGCATGTTTTAAACCAGTGTTTAATTAGGGAGTCTCTATGTGTTCATTATAAAACTGATTTTTAGGGGGTGTTTAATATCAGCAACAAAATTCCCTCTGGGGTTGAATCCTAGAACATGCTGTCTCCAAATGTGGCTGCTGAGGGTTTTTTTTTGTTTGTTTTTTTTTTAATGGGCAGCAGGGCTTTTATTATTCATGTTGAAACAGAGCCCAGATCAGCCTCCATGACTGGCTCTATGCTGACAGTAATGGCTTCTACCGAAGAACTGTTGGGGACTGCCAGTAGCTGGGGCTTGTTTTAAAAGGTTCAGAAACTACCTGTTAACATAAGAGATAATAATGGTTTCAGAGGAATCATTTCAAAATTTCCCCATAAATAATATGTACTTAAGATGTTTCTAAATTGGTCTCAACCAAAGGCTGCTGCACAGAGGTCAATTACAGGAGGCAAACAAGTCTCTAAAGTTTTCAGGACAGTCCTGCAAACATATAGCACATCAGTTTCACCATTCCTCCCTGCTAGGTCCCACAAAGCGTGTTTTAAAGTCACACCACCTCCTCAGATAGACTGGTTGTGAAACGGCAGAGAAGCCACATCTTTCAAACTGGAGTCCCTTGGCTTGACACAGCTGAAGCTCTAGCTCCTTTTATCTCAAAGCCATCATTCGCTACCAGTTTTCTACAAGACGGTCACATCTTTCTGGATCCTGTTCTTGGCCTATCCCACTCAATACCACGCACTGCCTTTCAGCTACTGAGAAAACTGAAAGGTCCACTATTTGGGGAACTGTGAAGTTGAGGTGATTTGATTTCATCATTTAGTGCTGCAGCTGTGCAGGGACCCAGCTGTGGGTACAGGGCTCCAGGAGACCCCCAGGCAGGGCTCATCTCACAGAGGTATTTCTGTGGAGGAGAGCAACTCACCTCGGATGCATCCTGGGACTTCAGGGCATTCTCTTTTTCTTTCTTGCTCTTAGAGATTTCATGTTTGACGCGTTTGGTTCCTGATACTTTTGTTTTATTCTCATTTTCCTGTGAACTGTTCTCCTGTTTCCGAGGTTTGATTGGAGGCAGGGGCTTATCTTCCTCTCCTTTAATGAATCTTTCATATGGCAGGATCAATCTGAAAAGATATCAGGAGAGATGATCAATCAGGGAAGGTAATTCCATTAGCATTGATGTTATGGGTTTATTTTCTTTTCTCAGTACAAGCAATTTATTGAATAACTGCATCTCCAGTGACGCTAATGCTTTTCTAGAAACTTACTCCACAATTTCATGATCTACTTCCCTGGCTAAAACCAGAACCTGGTGACTTACATTCTGCTTTGCAAGACCTCTTTCTGGTTTTGTGAATCTACACACCACGGATACTAATAGAAGCATCCAAGGTTACATTATCATCACTGCCCGTGGAACCTGGCTAAGTGCCAACCACAACATCACAACAATGAGAGCAACAATAATGATAGCTGCCGTTCATTTATCATTCTGCCAACAGCTTTTTTTTGAGCACCTCCTGAGTGCCAGGCAGTGTTCTGGGCACTGAGATACAGCAGCAAACAAAAGATTCAAAGCTCCTGACCTCATGAGGCTTATATTCTAGTAGGTAGTAGTATTTGCCAAGTAATATCCTAGGTGCATAATACGAATTATTTCGTGTAATCTCTACAACATCCCTATGGAGCAAATTACCATATTATTTATTATAATCATACCATATGGAATGATAATAATAATTCCTATTATTATTAACTGATGAGACAATTGAAGCCCAAAAAGGTTAATTAATTTGCCTAACAGTCACATCATGTGACAGAGGTGGAATTTGAACAGAGTTCTGCCCATCTCCACAGTTTATATTTTCATTCATATCAAAATATAGACCAACCACTTAAGATAAAGAGCTTAACGAGAGGCAAGCACAGTGGCTGAGAGACAGCTGTCTTATCCAGCAGCTCAGAGGTGACTCTGGCATGAGGAGCTCTGTTTTGGGGTACCAAGTCAAAGAGAGCCCCTGTGAGAAGGAAAGCAGACAGACCACTCCAGCCACAAAAATCAGAGGGCTGAAAAATTCAAGCATTTTAATTACACAACTTTTTAAACAAAGTACATAAAATTGCTCTAAAAAGAGAACATCAAACAGCTCTAGTTTTAATCTGTTTCCCCTTTGCGACGTAGCTCTTGATCTGAAAGGGAAAAATAGCTGATGTAATTAAAAGGGATGGATTGCATTACATTCTCAGTTTCAACTTCAGTGATTAAAGTTTTTATAATGCATTTGGTATGATTAATGACTCACTGTGGGATTAATACAAGACTCAGCCTTAAAAGTATGAACTTTAATACAGCAAACATAATTTGTTTTAAATAAGACAAGTTGACTCAATGAAGAAAATGTACTTGGCATATAAACAACATAAATCTGTTCAAATATCGGGAACTCTAATTATTTTTAAACTAAAACTCCCAGGCAGAAACTTCTTTGGTTTGGATATTTGTTGCAATCCTGAAGCTGATTTGTAACTATGCAATTTGGATCTCAACAACATACAAAACTGTTCAGGTTTGCGAGTACAGACATGGGACATTTGTGATCATACTATTTCACTCTTTAATAAAATACCAAGTAAATGATGAGAAAATCAAATCCCAATTTATAGCATTTTAGGAACAAAATTCATTTACTGAGCATGCTCGGACAAGGTATGTGCAAGGAGGCGTGAATAATAGTTTCGAGCCCTACATCTGGCAGTGGGCCAGCCATGAAGATCAACACAGCCCATGGGGAATAGTTATCTTCAGATCCCATTACAAACTGAGTTTAAACATGTTACAGCTGCTAAAACTGGAAACTGTTCTCTCCATGTAGACTTACTAAAATAATATATGGCTGCCAAATACCTGCTTCCCACTGTAATATTACAGTTAATGTTTATATAATAAAAAGCATAACTAAGCAGAAGAGAGAAAAAAGCAATCTTGTTCATACTTGAATTTATTTGTCTCATCTGTAAAGTCCCCAACATTCTCCCCAATTCCTTTTATCTGAGTGGTTCCGCCAGGGACTTTATCCCCTTCAACACTGGCAGGTTGGGGAATTTTACCCAGGAGGGAAATGCAATGAATATTATAAATTTAAAAAAATATTTTAAATTGACTTCAGTGAAAACATATTTTTTTGTTGGGGCAGATAGGTTTGTTTTACTTTTGTTTGGTTGCCATGGGAATCCAAGGAGCACTGAAGTCTGGATATTCCAATGGTTACCACTCTTCCCTCCAACTCCATTCTCTACTTGAGATGGTGACACCATGAGACACCCTCTTTGCTAAGAAGGATGACAGAATTACCTCTGAAGGGGGGTGAGAGGAAGGAGAGAATTGGGTGGGAGAGACACCCAAAGTGAGCCCCAGAGGAGCCTTTACCTCAGGTTCTGACAGTCCTGGGCCAATCTAGCTCTCTAGATGGGTGCTAAGGAGACTTTTAATTTCCTTATACGATTTTGCAGGTTCAAGAGGCAGGGCAACATTTCCATTTCATTTCTTTTCTTTCTTTTTTTTCCACCCTTTACTCAACTCAGCAGCTGGCTGGCCGACAGCAGTAAAAAATACATTTCACTTTGCTGGTCAAAGGCCTAAAGCCAGAAGCAGGAAATCTGGAATTAAATGTTTCTTGTATCTGGAAAGAGGCATGACTAAGGTAAAACTGAATCCAAACACAAGTCCTGCTTGTTCAAGGCTTCCAGAGGGAGGGAGGGAGGGAGGGAGGGGAGGGGAAGAGGAAAGAGAGAGAGAAAGACAGAGAGAGAGAGAGAGAGAGAGAGAGAGAGAGAGAGAGAGAGAGTGTAAAGGTCAACTGAGTGGTTTTTTTTCCATTCTAAATCACTGAAAGATAATTATAGTGGCTCAGGGAAAAAAGCCTCCTAAAATAAAACAAAAAAGGCAGCAGCTGAAAGGAAACAAGTAGAAATATAACCAACTAAGCCCTTGAAGAATGGCACGGACTTGCATGGCACCCAAACAATTGCTGTTCATATAGTGATTTCTGTTAGGTGCGATTTTCACTGAATGTTTTTTCAGTTATCCTGTCATGGTACAATACAATTATCCCACAGGATATGATCGTATCATTTGATTATTAGAAGTTTTTATAGTACAAGAGGACGAAATTATTATAGGTTTCTGAACATTTAAAACATTTAATGTACATGTGACAGCTTTGAAAACAGGTTAGCCAAAGAAGGTCAGCATTGCCCAGTGCAAGAAGCTGAGTAGGTTTGTACTGTACAAAGAATTTAGTATAACACAAAATGCCTGTGCCTTGCGGATGATTATTCCTCAAATATTTGTAGTACAACAAAGATTTAATCAGTTTCTAAACTGCACAGATAAAAGCAAAAATGCAGCCCGGTCCCCAAGAACTCATTACACAGGAGAAATATTTTCAAAGGACTGCAACTCTAAGAATACGGGTTGGGCTTTAGGTGGGTGGAAGTAATGGGGAAAAGAAGCAATATGTTCATTAGAAAATCCAGCGAGATCCTCCTGCCACCCCCCATACCCCCCCCCATCTACATCTAGTCCTGGGATTGAAAGCTGGGCAGATAAATGGGTCTTTATTATTACCCAGATTTCACATTTCAGATTAGTAAAATGCTTATTTATGATGCTGTTAATGGATCTGAAATAGGTAAGCCATTATGTATTAAAAAATAACATCTTTCCATAGGCATAAGATTTGTAGCAGCATGAGTTTTTTTTCCCTAGGAATAATACAAGAATAACATTTTCCACCCCAAAGCAGAAACAGTAGGGGAGCCTTTTGCTATCACGGAGATTCTTATTAAATTCAGTCACTGTGAAAAGAAAGATTTTTTTTCTCCTTTTTCTTCTTCTTTTTTAAAAAATAAAGATGACTTAAAATCAACCCAAATTAAAATTAACAAACCAATGGCATTATAACCTTGATTTATTAGCATCTGAGCCACTAAATTACCATCATACAAGAAATTGCTGGTTTGAAAAGATTTCAGCTTTGTTAAATCTCAAGTTAAATAATGGTGCTCAGTGTACTAGGTTTTTAGATCTGCCTCATCTGATATTATGAAAAATTCAATACATTTCTCTACAGCAGAAGTCAGGGGTCAGCAAATCTATTACTGTAATGTAAGTAATCTGGCAACCTGCCAACTCTTTCTCTCTTTTATTATTTTTTTAAACACCAAGGCAGATAATTTTATATTTACAAATTCTAAAATCCTCCAGGGCCTTCGCTCTCCTTCTCAACAAAAAGCAGCAGCCTCACGTTTGAGAAATGTATACTGCACGTGTCCTCATCATTTGCATTTCATACAAAAGAAGAAAAGACCCTTCATCTTTATTAGGCAAAATTCCCCTCCCCTCCCCATGGGCAGAGGAAGAATAATGTCAAATCTCATCTGAGCGAGTAACCACTAATGTCTTCTGTATTGATTAATGTTTGCATGGAATGACTGAACTTTTGGGCCCAAACATTTAGCAAACAGTGCTTAAGAGGAGGAATGAGAATCCATCTATTTTTAGAGCTCTGAAAAATGATATTATAATAATGTCTGGAACTGATTCAATCTGGAAAGTTGGGGAAAGAAGTGGGAAACCTTTACGGTTGTATTTGACCCTCGCCCTCATTACTTCATAGGTACTTTTATGGTATCGAACCAGTGAAAAATTCTTAGCCTCAAGATCTGCTGGTGCCCTGGGAACAGAATATTTTAGGGGCAGAGGGAAATAAAGGTGGTGTGCATGTCAAGGCAAAAATGCTACTATTCTTATACTATTAGGTATTTTTGTGGCAGTAGAAAAGAAATGACATATTGGTTCCTCTGGGGCTTCGGACCTGATCTGATCCCAAATGGAGTCATTACATCTTCAAGTTGATTCTGGGGTTGATAAATTCTAAAGCTTGGCTAGACATTTCCCTTCTGAGCCAGAAATTGAAAACATAACTTCACTGTGAAGTGTGGGAAGCAATCTTTCACCAAATATAAAGCCAATAAAAGGTATATTTTTCTTTTTTGAAGATGAAGTCCACACATTTGTTAAGGTTCCAAGAAGTATAGAGAGTTTCTAATCACACATACTGTT